AAAATATCAGCAAAACGTCTGAAATATGCAATGACTTGAAAACTGCGCTGCGCTCCGACGGGACCGATGCGACTTATTCCTCATTCAATGTGGTAATTGTGACCATCACCTTGATTTCGTATCTTAATTTAATAATAATTTATCGTACTGACGCCAATCTTAGCTCCGATGCATATTTTAAGTATTCTCCGAAATTTTTAAATTGTGAGACATTGTTATAGAGATAATAATTTAATTAGTTTGAAGACTGCGATCCTTCTTTTACCTATAAACATACATGTAGTTAAGGAAGCCAGGGGTCTTCTCTTGAAGTATTGTAATGAAAATTTCAATTAAATTATTGTGAACACAGAAAAAGTGCCTTTAAGTGCATTTGACTCATGCGCTGAATATTTTAACTTAGTTAATGTATAATTTATTCCTTTTCAATGTACCAGTGCTGTTGTAATAAGCCCTGTAAATATCTATTGCGGAGATTCAGAAGATTGTCAGAAAACTTGACATTTCTGCTAAACGGTAGCTACACGTGAGTGAAAATGCGTTTAGCAGTGGTTCTCTCCCTGTCCAAGACCCCCCTGGTTAAGAGCCACCATCCACCCCATATTCAGCTGCCAAGCACTCGTTGGGTGAAGATTCCCGGACGCAGTAGAGCTACACTCGAGGTGAGGACTTGTTCTCTCTGGCAGGTTCACTGGGGCGGTAGTAAAAGTAGTTGGTTGTTAGCAGGGTTCACGCCGAGTCGGCACCCTTAGCTGTTGGTTGGTGTCGCAGGGTTTACGCCGTGTCGGGACCCTTAGCTGTTGGTTGGTGTCGCATTTCAAAATTGCACTTCATTTGTCATCACAGAATGTAAAGGAAAATGTTTTTATGCATGTAAATTCTTTTGAGAATTTGAAGTGCTGTGTTTTACTTTAATTGTGTAGTTTTCTTCATCATTACTTTTCAGAAACAACCCAAGAACAGTGTTTGGACAAAAGAGAATGCCTGCAAGGTAAGTACGTGTAATCAGATGCAACAGATGTTATTACTTCCTATCTGGAATTGATCAGAAAAGCAGTAAATTCAAATATCAAATATCAATATGTACATAATATTGTTCACTCTGCTTGAATTCACAGAGCCAGTGTAAGTGCAATTAAAGATGGTGAAGTGACAATCCCCACAGATCAAATAGAAAGGTGATTAATAAGACAACATAATATGGAAACATCGGTAGTTTATAACATACCAAACTGTGAAGAGATAATGCAGTTTGCATTTGAGTTGTTTTGTGTTCTATCGTTTTACTAAAAATGTTCTTAAGTTTTTTTTTTCTGAAAATGTTGGTTTAAAAAAGGAAAGATCGGTTTTAATTAAATTAACACTAGCCATATGGAAGTGTACATGATGCATTTTGATAGTCATTATAAGGTATTTTCATCAAATTCCAATCTGCTTTTATTTTTACTGAGAAATTATTTGTGTTACGATTTTCAGAGATCGTTTAATCTTCACCACCCTACTACAGATAAAAGCAATGGTGAAGAATAACACCATTGCTCTTTCAAGGTTAGAGCAAAAATTGAAAGAGAAAAGAAGTCCTGAAGTCAATATCGTCTCAATTGAGGAGTTTGGATTTCCCATGGAAAGTAAAGAAGATGTGTCAAGAGTGGAAATTATGCTCAAAGATAAGCAAAAAATGAAATTACTGGTAAGTTTTATAAAATAATGATAATAATAGTATGATTAATGTAGTGATTGTTGTGCTGAAGCTACATATGGAATAAATAATTAAGCTGATTTTTAAAGTTGATGTTGTTTGATAAATGATTAATATAAAATTTTAATCTGAACACTTATCATTTGTTATATATATATATATATAAATCTGCTTTACTAATTAAGAAGGTTTTATATTTATTTCAATAGTCAAACCACCTTGCCACTCTGGGAGGGTTTTCCACCAAAGAAGTAGTAGATAGAATCATGAGTAATGTTTTCAAAACTAAGCTAGCATGCCAGTGTAACTGGGTTGGTAAGGGAGGAAAGGTGGCATTAAAGAACCTTGCAATAACAAAAGCAATGAAAGGTTTGCATTATAATTATCAAATAATGTTTGCTCAGATATATTTTACATATCAACTGTATTATAATGATCCAGAAGTGAATTTACAGTTCAAAATATAAAGGTTATTTCTTCTAAACAACTATTTTTTTATGGTTTTTACATATTTTTTCTGAAGGATAAGCACATATCAACCTATTTCTGTCCTTTGGTCACACCATTCTGTTTTGTAACTCCTGTTTTAACCATTTTTGTTTACTGTCCAATTAAGCATTGTTAAGATAGGAGGATTAAGTAAAGTTTTATATATCTTCACAGATGCAGGTAGATCCAGAGCCACGGAAGCGGAACTTGACACTTCCATCAGATTGTGGCTTAAGAATGCCCACGATAGGGATGGTGGAAGAAAATTAAGGGCCATCAAAAAAGAAGGTAAGTACATATTAAAATATGTTGTTATTGCCTTATATTCATAATAATTATGATAAATGTGTGGAAAGAAATTGTGCTTGACCATGCCTCAATTGCCTTTCTTTAAGCTTAACCCCTCTTTAACAAATATATTTATATTGCATGACTGTGTATTCAGTTACAAATGATATTTCTGTAATTCTGGTATGTATATAGTTAAGTTCAAACATACAAAAATAAAATAGTATAATTGAAAATTATTCCTTTTCAGCAAGAGACAGACAGTTAGCACTTGCAGAACAACACAATATGTCATTTGATAGTAGCACAAGTGAAGAGTCCGACTAGTTTCTCAAAAGCTCATTTGTGTGCTACCACTACAAATGTAATGAAAGGAAAACTGTGTTGCATATTATTTTGTAACTTAAAAGAATGGCTCATAGAATTGACATACAGGTCAAAGTGGAAAGCCAGCTTGATTGGGTTATTATTGTATGAAATGTTCATTTTAAAATTTCTGGAATTTTCAAAGTATGAACTTGAACTTCCACGGGCCTGAAGCCTTAAGTTAGTTACACTTTACATCATACTTGATTAGTTCCATTCTGTTTTGCATTATTAAAATTTGATGTTGACTTTGCTGTAAATGTATTAATGCATCAGAATTGACAGTTTGCCATTTTGTGCATTAATTTTTTCTGCTTTTTTGTCCATACATTTGACAGCTGTGCTGTCTTGTAGCAATTTTTTGATGAAATTTTCATATTTTTCATTCTGATATTTGTGTGAACTTGAACTCCCATTGGCTGAAGCCTTTGCTTTTACCTTTATCAGCATTACCAGTTGTGCATAATTAAACTTTGTAGTTAAGCATAATGTATTATTGCATCTGAATTGAAAATATCCTTTTTGTGCATTGTGCTTTGTTGTCTTGTGTTATTATATGTGAAATAAAAGTGATAAGTGATAACCCTATCTCTGACTTGTTTCTTAATGCAAAAGGAGATAAAAGATAAATAATATTACCCTAATTAAAGATTGATTAAATGAAATAAAGATTAATTAAATGAAAAAAAAAACCCTGTAAAACAATCGGTGGCTTACCAGTGGCTTGCCGCTGGTAAGCCACCATAAGCGGCTTGCCACCGGTGGGCCACCGGCTATTAGCTGGACATTCCACCGGTGGCCCACCGGTGGCTGCCACCGGTGGCCCACCAGTTGCGCTACCGGTGGCCCACCGGTGGCCCACCGGTGGCATGTTATCTGGGTAGTTATATGGTAATAGTACTTAAGTGAAAGGGGGGGGGGGGGGTGTTTAGGACACACAGTTTCCCCAGGCTAAGGAATTAAGTTTATGGTCTCTAGAATTTCTAAAACAGGGTTCTGCAATCAAACTTTTCAACTTACTGGCCATTGCACCACCTATGATTTCCTAAAATTACTGGTTCAAACTAAGATCTAATAAACGGATATTAGATCTTAGGTTCAAATCAGGATTCACTGTTCTGAATAAAAATTTTAATGAGTTTGGACTTTTCCCCAGTTGCATTAGTAATAACAAGAGCTCTTTTGAAAACTTGAATAAATGAATCTAATGGCCATGCCAGACCACTGAATTCACACATTCTGAAAAATTTGCTGATCCAAATAAAATTTTATTGGCTGCAGGTGTAGGACCAGTGGTTAAAGGGATAATAACTCTTTGTATGAGATCTATATTTCACAATCAAAACATTGTGAACAACTCATAGAAATATAATATGTTCTGTTGTACCACAAAAACTGCAGCTATAGCTATTATTCTGATATCTGAGCTTGCTTCTAGACCACGTGACCTCCATTGATGGCTATACTCTGTTATAATCTCTTAAGAGATTATAACAAAAAAAAAACTTTTTAGAAAAAAAAGGGACTAACTTTGAATGTAAAAAGGGATTCATTAACCATTGGTAAGTATGGGAAAATTGTTGTTTACTCCAGGAAAATTCATATTTGGGCCAAAATGAAGAGTTATTATCCCTTTAAAGTTGCAGACTAGCTTTATGAGACCTTAATTTGCTAGTGTGATATGCAAGGCCGAAGACTGAGGCAACGTGTACCTGTAGGTTATGTTAGAAGCATGGATGTTGAATTTCAAAAATATTTCCATTATCACACAGCTTCTTCATTGGGCCTACAGCCATTTGCAAGCCAGTCATGTGCTTCCCTTGTACTGCTTCGACCCAAGACATTTTGCTGGGACTTACCACTTTGGCTTTCCTAAGACTGGTGCCCATAGATTGCAGTTTTTGTTAGAAAGTGTTGATGACATGAGGAAGAGCCTGAAAGCCAGAGGAAGGTGAGCTTATTGTACAGGGCATGCAGTTTCTGTATTTAAATATGTTGCAGGTTACTTGGTGGTGACAGGTCAGTGACTGGTCATGCAGTTCAACTTTTGGGGTCAATTGCTGTCTGGCCCCGTAACTCAAAAGCATATTGCGCATTGCGACTGGGTGCAAGCGTCTCAATTCATTAACTCACCCATACTCGCCCCATATAATACACTGTAGGCTCCATGTGATATCGCTATTCACAATACGCGATGCTTTCGAGTTAGGGGGCCCTGCTTGGTAATTCAGCAAGTTTCAATTGATGTGGAAGTTTCTTGTTGACTGATAGAGAAAGCAAGTTATAGATTTGAAAACACTTTAAATGCATTGAATTGTGACATACTGTATGGTAGCAACTTAATGTGTGTGAATTGATACTTGGTCCATATTGCATTTATCAAATTTGTTATTTCAGTAAAAAATAATGATGATTTCAGATTAATGTTACTAACATATGATAACACATGAATCTAGAAGTACTTAAAAAGTTTGCTGGAACTTTCATAACATCATAAGGAATATTGCTGTCTTACATGACATATTTGAGCCAGTATACATGTACTATTCCATTCCTTCCTGTTAGCAATCTCATAATAAGACAAGGCAAACCAGAAGATGTGGTACCTGCCATTATCAAATGTCTGGGACAGGGAAATGTAATAGCTGTTGGATTTCAAGAAGAGGTATGTTGGTGGATAAACTGGAATTAACTTTTTTTGGCATTTCAGTTAATATGTACTCTCTCTAACAAAAGCTCCAGGATATTGGTTTGTTAACAAGTTCAAATAGTTAACAATTCAGGCTTTTTTCCTTCTGTGATCCGAGAACCTTCTTTTCTCTTTGTATGATAAATTATTTAACTTAGTAGCAAAAATTATTTCATCCTTATTATGATCATCTGTTAAAATTCACCATATTTTTGGGATAGGCTGCTTGTTGGTGAGGTAGGCTGTGCTATGTGATATGTATGTATTGGATTCTTGATCTCATTTTAATTGAGGTGTACCTGTTTACTTAATAATATACAAATTATGTCCAGGCTACACAGGAAGAGTTAGATGTGGAAGCAGCATTAAAGAAGAATTGTGGAGTTCAAATTAAGACATTTTGGGGATCTACCTTGTATCATAAAGAAGACGTGCCATTTAAGATACAACAGTGAGTTCCATCTAAAAACAGATCTAAGATATAATCTAAAACAATCCAAGTAAAAAATTTACAGCAGTGAGTTCTGTCTAAAAAAAAGCTCAAGATATAATCGAAGACAGTCTAATTTTACAGATATCTTTCCGTCTGATGTCATTTTCGAGGATAAAGTAGGTATATTATTTTCTGTTTCATTTGAGATTTATTAATTTTGGAATTTATTTAGCTTATAGTGTTGTTTGATGTTCTTTGTTTTTGTNTAAATGCCCAAGAGATGGGTATGGGGGCCCTTACCGTCTAGGAGGAGAAGCGGTAACGGTAACATGGCGGCGGAGCCGGCGGAGCCGGCGGAACGGACCGGAAGGGACTAAAACCATGTGTACCGCCAGCGCTAACGCTGGTGGTACAATAACATGATAATACTAATTATGAGAAGCATCATTTTGGTAATATCAATTTATCTGATTGGGACAAAATTCAACATTTCTATTATCATGCATTGGGGTTGATTTGATAGTTGGCAGCACCACTAGCTCGATTTTAGTGGAAGACATTGTTATGAGGCAGGGGACATTGGTCAGGATAGGTAGCAATGAAATATCACAGGAGAGCTAGCTCAGTGGTAGAGCATTCACCTCCATTGTAGTGTGGAAGGTCTTGGGTTCGATTCCCAAGCTCTCCCTATTTCAAAGTTATCAAGTAGTACCGGTACCTGTACACATGTCTGCATGCCTGTCAGGCATTCTTGTCCTCATACAGTCAATTGTTACTATAATGTGGTTATTTATTTGAAAATAATTCAAACATGCCTTATGATAATTGTTGTCTTGACTAAAATAATAATTGTTATGTTTTAGATCACCATGGTTAGGTTTTACCAAAGGAAATCTAACAGAGGGTGTGAATCTGCAGATATTTTGAGGGCTATTGAACACTACAATTCAACTGAAGATGGGGTTAAGAAAACGGCTGACCTTTATAATCTTCCTGGAACAACACTAAGATGACACATAAAGAATTATTCACCAAATGATAATGTATCTGTAGGTTATACGAGGCACAGACAAGTGTTTAATGATGACCAAGAGCAAAAATTAGTCGAATATCTGAAGCATTCATCAGAAATTTATTTTGGACTTAGCCCAAAGGATGTACGTACATTAGCCTATCAATGCGCAGTGGAGTTTGGCGTCACTTGCCCACTAACATGGCATGCAAATGGATGTGCAGGGGCTGACTGGTTTTCTGGATTTTTAAAGAGACATGCCAGCATATCTATTCGTACTCCTGAGGCCACAAGCATTGGAAGGGCAACAGCCTTTAACAAAACCAACGTGGATAAGTTCTTCAAAAAACTTGGAGAAGTAATGGACAGGTATAACCTAGAAGCTAAAGACATATGGAATGTAGATGAGACAGGAATCACCACAGTACAGAAACCACAAAGGGTTGTCGCACAAACAGGTAAATCTAGTTGAAAAAAAAATGTCACAGTTGAGATATAAATCCCCAATGTTTGATCTATATATGATAGAATTAGACCCCATTTCCATAGCTTTTAGATTGATCTATCCCTGTGGGGAGTCTCACTAGATTACTGTCAGCTTAGCCGGCTTAAGCGTCTGTCCAGCCTACTGAAAGCTGTGAGGGGGTAATTAACTATGGTGGGTGCTCAGCTGACTGCAATTTAGCGTGAACCCCCAGGGAGTTAGGTCGATCTAAATCTTAATCTCTGGATCGATCTAAATCTCTGGGAATACACCCTTAGAATGCAGCCCTACAGTTGATCCAATTGCATCAAGAGACTGGGTAAAAATATATTATTTATCCACCTTTCAAAATTCTTACTGAATCTTTAATCTTATATTGTGAGGGAAGTAAACAGTGTTAATTAATATTTTACTACTTTTGTAACACAGTGTTATAATCTCATCTTTTCTTAGGTGCCAAGCAAGTTGGAGCACTGGTGTCTGCAGAGAGAGGGCAGTTAGTAACATTAGCTGCAGCAGTAAGTGCAGGGGGGCAATCCATACCACCATTTTTTATATTCCCAAGAGTTCATTTTCATAGTCATTTTCTGAGAGGGGCCCCGGCTGGTTCTTCAGGAGCAGCCCACAGATCTGGCTGGATGACAGAAGAAAATTTTGTTAATTTCATGCATCATTTTAAACACCATGTGAAGCCATCAAAGGAGTCACCAGTCCTGTTAATCTTAGATAACCATGAATCATCTAGGTGTCCCAGCACTTAATCTAGCAAGAGAAAATGGCATAGTCATGCTTTCTTTCCTCCACATTGTTCACACAAATTGCAACCCCTGGATGTGTCAGTATTTGGGCCTTTAAAGAAGAAAATAGCAGAGGTGCAAACTAATTGGCTACGGTCCAATCCAGGCAAGCCGATGACAATATATGATACACCTAGCATTGTGGGGGAAGCCTGGGGCCAGGTTATAACAGTCCGTCACATAACAGCAGGGTTTTCCAAGACGGGGATCTACCCATTTAATGACAAAGTGTTTGATGAAACGGATTATGCACCAGCCTCAGTCATCCTCGACCCACCAGCATCAAGTGCAATGCCTTCTTCGACAGATCTTGAAGCAGCTACCATCTATCAAGCAGACAACTCGGAGTCGGCACGATCACTGCTCAGTAACACTGTGACAGATTTTGCACCGTCTTCAGTGCCTGAAGAAGTGTCCACACCTTTGGCATGCCCAGCTGATTTTGATACAGAAATCCCTAGTTTTGAACAAGCCAGGCAGCAGTCTGCAACTACTTCTCCAGCAAGAATCTCTGATTCATTGCAATCACTGCTTAATAGTTTGCTCAGACCCCAAAGTCTTCCAACCAACACAATGTCAACGGCTGATCAGACTAAAGCAGTAGCAGCATTTTTATCCCAAAAAGAAATGGCTGTAAAGGAGGTTGCAGGTGATGGCCACTGTCTGTTGCACGCAGTGTGTGGTGGTTTAAAGGAAAGTGGGTTCAACATAGACCTGCCATCTCTTACTGGATACAATGTACATGCTACAGGAAATAAACAACCACTTGGAGGAATACAAGAAGTTTGCGCCACAGGAACAAGATGTGCTGAAAGATTTCATGGAATATATTGTCAGTAAGAAATATAATTCTGATGTAGGCGATTTGATGGTGTCTATTATCAGCAATGCTTTATCAGTGACCATTGTTATATGCAAATGTCTGGTGGATGGTAGGGTGATTGAGATAGTACAACAACCCAGAGTTTCTCAGGGCACCACCATTTACCTAACATTGGTTGAAAGTGATGCTGGGGCTCATTACAATTTTGCAGTTGCCACATCCTCTTGTGAAGACCAAAATCTCTATTCAGGCCAGTTCAACCCAGAAATGGTTAGGCCCTTTCCAAAAGCACAGGCAAGAAAATCCACAACTAAAAGAGGCAGGAAACGGAAATCAGCCATTCTCACTGATACACCTGAAAAAGTGGCCATTGAGGCTAAACTCAAAACCAAAAGAATGAAGAGAAGGTCAAAACCAGTTAAAAGGAAAATCAAGTGGCAAGAGCAAGATGCTGAATGTTTAGTATGTGGAGAACCATTTACTAATAGTAAAGCTGCTGAAACATGGGTTAGATGTATCCGTTGTTTGCATTGGTCACACGAAGCATGCACACCAGGAGACCCTAAGTACATATGTGATAACTGTGAATCTGATGTTTGTTAAAACAAAGACAAGGATTTATGAAATTAAGGCTTCATTCACATGCAATGTGTATTTTCTAAATTCTATTTTCTATTCGTGGTATGTCTTATGATCACGGTCTGTGCCCTGAATATCCCGCGGCGTAATTACTGGCAGCGCGAGCCAGTTACTATAAGTTACTATATATATGATAAATCTGAAAAATAAAAGGAATTGATTATTTATTTCAGAAGTTATTCAAGGTGATATTAGGTGATGACCGTTTTTTTTTTTTTTTTTTTTTTTTTTGTGTGTCACCCTGTACTTGTTAAAAATCCATTAATACCTTTTTCATGATAGTCTGTTTGATATAAGAGAATTTGTTGTTTGAATTGGCTACATGAAGAACGAAGCACACCAAGAAATCTCAAGTACTTTTGTGATAATTGTGCACCTGTGGTTTGTTAAAAGCAATCAGCTGAAGCTAATAGTTCAAATAAAATAAAGGGTTTAAGAATTGAATACCAATTTAAGATTGGATTTGTTAGTTTCTTTAGAAACAAGAGTTTATTATATGTTTAAAAAGTCGTTTTATACCATTACTTGTTTCTTTTGAATAGATGTATTTGTTGTTTGAATTGGTCAAATGAAAGATGCAAACCAGAAGGCCGAAACTACATTTAATAATGTTGTGAATCTGATGTTTAAAAAAAGTCAATGTTTAAGAGTTGGTTCCCATACTTAGATCAATCCAACTTGATCGACCTAACTCCCTGGGGGTTCACGCTAAATTGTTATCTGCTCAAGAGGCTTAAATGTCTATCACGTCTACCGAATCAGCTAGGGGTAAAGATAATTACCCCCTAACAGTTTTACAAGGCATGACAGACGTTTAAGCCAATCAGTTTGATAGCAATTTAGTGAGACTCTCCAGGGAGATAGATTGATCCATATATCTGTGAGAAGGGTCCCTATATTGTGCATTCAATACCAGTTTATGGTTGAAATTGTTACTTACTTTGATAACAAGAGTTAATTATTTGTTAACATTTATAAAAAAATATGTTTTATACAATTATTTGTTTATTTCAAAATAAAAATGTTTGAATCAAAAATATTTGGGCTCCTGTTATATTTTTCTATGTATGCAAAGTAATGATAAAAAGCACAGAAACCTTAATAAGTCTGTCTCACTTGAACTACTAATTCAGCAAAGACTCTAAAAAAATCAAGTTAGTAAAATAAGAATGTGTAAAAGTGCATTTAATATCGTTTACGTGGAATAAAAAAATGTATTTATTAGGGCAGGGGGCCAACTTGCCCCGGTAGGGGGGCCAACTTGCCCCGACACGGGGCAAGTTGGCCCCCCTGACGGCACATGTGGTTTTTGTTTAATTGTGTTCCACCTGGACTTATTTTTGAAAAATTATGACATTGCATTTATAGCTTAGTCCTTGATGCATGTCCTGAAAACGTTTTTTTTTTTTTTTTTTTTTTTTTTTTTTTTTTTTTTTTTTTTTTTTT